ATCAATTCTATACTAATAACACTCTTTAAACTTGGAATTAGTAAAAATGTTTACCAATTTAAATTATTGACTGACTTTTTGCTTTTGAATTAGTAACTTTTACTAATAAAAAATAATTTCTACTAATTTTTTTTAGCAAAATTTACTAATTCAAAAGCAAAAAGTCACTCACTAATTTGAATTAGTTACAAATCTTGGATTGTATGACTTTTTTGATTTTTTGTAAGACCTTAAAGTCGATCCAAAGCCTTCTTTAGTTTTAATTTCGAAAAAGCAAAATTTTTAGTTTTAAAATGAAAATTTGAATTTGTTTTGAAAATAAACTTCAGGGACCCTTTTTAGCACTTTAAAGTTGATCTGAAGTCTTCTCTATGTTTACTTTCAAACAATCAAAATTTTGATTTTGAAAAATAAAATTTTGATTATTTTTTTGATAAACTCCACCGTCATGGTACTCGTTTTCTACTAAAATAAGATCGAGAAAATCAAATCCGCCATCAGAATGAACAAAATATATAATTTTTTTTTTGCAACTTAAAGTCAATCCGAGATTTGAAATTTAAATCAGATAAAAATAAATAATTTAAAAGCAACAGAAGTCATAAGAAATTTTACTCTGACAGTTAGTTATATTTCGAACTGATTCAAAGTATGAGTGACGCAGTCATTTTATTATATTTGAAACATTATAAATTCTGAGTTTTTAATCCTTTTGATTAATTAAATTTTAATTTTCTAGATATATTAATTCTTTTATTGAAATTTAATTATTAATTAAAATCAATTATTGGATTCTCTTCAAAGTGGAATAATGGTTCATTAATATTTAGACACTATAATTAATTCTCCTTATTATTTCGATGACCACGATTGAATGTAAATTTTAGAAATGTTTTCTTCTATAAGTGAAAAACAAATCTTGATTTTTGCAATTATTAGTTTTTTTGATCTATTTTCGACTAAGTAAATTTTAGTTAAACATTTGTTAAATTTCCATCTGATAAAAGTAATACATTTTAAAATTATTCAACTATTGATATTTTACTCTCTAAATTTATAGTAAAAATGTTTATTAATTTAAATTAGCGACTGACTTTTTGATTTTGAATTAGTAAATTTTAGTAATAAATAAGTAGTAGAAATTACTATTTATTAGTTAAATTTACTAATTGAAAAGTAAAAAGTCAGTCACTAATTCAAATTAGTAAATATTCTTACTAATACAATTTTGAAAATAATTTAATTTTTGCAAAGGATTTTATTACTTTTCAAAAGAATTGAATTCTTGTGATGAATTTTGATATTTATCAAAATAATTGAATTTTGGAAAAGAATTTTATTAAAATTCCTTAGAATAATTGATTTTATGGGAAGAATTTATGCGATTTTGTTGTTTATCAAACTAATTGAATTTTTTTGCAAAAATACTTAAAAATTTTTGAAAATAATTCATTTTCTGCGACGAATTAAATGTTATTTATGAAAATATTTGAATTATTTCAACGAATTTTATTGTTTTATTGAATAATTGAATGTTTCCTAAAATTGAATTTTTTCCTCAAGTTTTAATAAAATTTTTAATAATAATTGCATTTTTCAAGGAATTTATTTAAAATTGTATTAAAAATATTTGAAATTCTGCGATGAAAATAATTGAATTCGTAAATGAAATTTTATTATTTATGAAAATAATTGAATCTTTTCGAAGAATTTTATCAAAAAGTTTTTTCTATAATAAAATCTGTTGATAAATTTTATGAAAATAGTAAATATTGAAAATTATTGAATTGCAAAAAACTTTTGAAAGTAATTGAACTTTTGCAAATATTTTTATAAATTTTTGCAAAATAATTGAATTTTTGGCGAAAAATTTTGCTATTTGTAAAGATAATTGAATTCTTGGCGTGATATTCGTGAAAATTTTTAAAAATAATTGAATTTCTTCGAAGAATTTTATTTTTTTTGAAAATAATTGAATTTTTGGGATGATGATTGTAATTTATGATAATAATTGAATTTTGTAAAGAATTTTATTAAAATTCCTAAAAATTATTGAATTTCTGTGAAGAATTTTGTTATTTATTTTATAAATTTGATGAAAAATTGCATGGATCATAAATTTCAGAATTTGAAACTTTCAAAATAAAAGTTTTCAATTGAAAGTTTGAACGGCACTTTGCTAAATTTGGTGTAAATTCATCATTGAAAAAATAGGGGAAATTTAGGAGAAATTTTCAAAATAGGGTTCGTATAGGGGCCAAAATTAAAAAAGGGGACATTTAGGGAAATAGGGGATAGACTGTGAAGCCTGTAAATATTTTGATAGTGAATGTTATATATTGTCTGTATATATATAGATAGAAAACCGATATATTTTGAAAATCGTGCTATCACATTTGGAGTATAAGCTATAAATGAAAAATGAGACCATATTCTGGTAATGGAGTGTACTTGAGTGGAGATCGTAAGAAACGGAACGAATTTGTTTCAATTCGTCGTATTATGTCCTTATCACAACCGTAAATCGCCCCTCTTGGATAAACGAAACTCGATTGCGATCCCATTTCCAGTAGAGTGGATATACTATTGGTCAGCCAATAGGTATTTTCTATTACTATTGAGGTAAATATAATTTTAGAAAATGAGGTTTTGCGATATATATAAAAATGTATGTCTAATATTTTTAACCGAAACAATCAAATTATTCCCTTTTCTTTTCTTGCGGATCAAATTATGTTACTACTGTAAAAATCACTAAAAAATAATCTCTCTTTAAATTTCTGATTTCGATAAAATTTTAAATTGATTTGAATCAGTGAATTACTTTTTGTTTTCAAATCAGTTAAAATTTGCTACTGAATTTTCAGTTGAAAATTTTTACAACTGATGAGTCAGCAAGTTTTAACTGATTTCAGAATAAATTATAGTTTTTTTGAGAAAAGGGATTTTTTCCGAAAAGGTGTGGTACTGAAAAATTGTTTGCAATTCGTCTCTAAGATATAAAAAAATCTTTAGTTAATAAAAGAAATTTGTCTTGATGCTAAATTAGATCCGAATTCCTAATTTTAGTAAAGAAACTAAAATAGTATTTCTACTAGCAAAAATATTATTTTTCTAAAAATCACTAACAGTTTTGACTAATTTTTAGTAGTTTTCTACTAATTTCTATTAGAAAACTACTCTCTAAACTTGAATTAGTAAAAATGTTTACTAATTGTAAGACTGACTTTTTGCTTTTGAATTAGTTAATTTTACTATTAAATAGTAATTTCTACTAATTTTTTAGTAAAAATTACTAATTGAAAAGCAAAAAGTCAGTCATTAATTCGAGTTAGTAAACATTTTTACTAATTGAAATGTAGAGAGTAATAATTTATGTAGTAATTCGGCTTACTAATTTAAAATAGTAAAAAATTAGATTTACCAATGATTTAGTAGTTTTCTACTAGAAAATAGTATTTTTTTTTTTTACTAAAAATTAGTCAAATATGTCACTAATTGAATTAGTAAACGAATCAGCACTATTTCATTAGCAGAAAAATACTAATTCAGATTTAGAGATTACTAACAATTAGTTATATTTTATTAATTAAAATTGGGAAAAGTCGTCAATGGAAATGACTAACAATTTGTCAAATTTTACTATTTGTTAGTAGTATTTTGCTAATTCAGATTTGTACTCTCCAAATTTGAATTATAAAAAATGATTACTAATTAGAATTAGTGACTGACTTTTTGCTTTTGAATTAGTAAATTTTACTAATAAATTAGTAAATTTTACTAATTCAAAAGCAGAAAGTAAGTTATTTAAAAATTGAAAAATTATGCAGATTGTAAGATTCAGACTTTGAGAGTAGATTTAGATTGAAGTTTTATATTCATTTTGACCTATATAGATATGAATGACTCATTATAATTCCTACAGGGTGACTTGTGTAGAATATGATAATGACTATGATATGAGTATGAATATGATATGATTTCTGTGAATATGATGATTCACAATTATTCTACAAAAGTCACTCGGGAGTCAAAATGAATCACAATCTTAAATCGTAAAATTTTTTTCTGATTTTAACTATTTCCTTAATTTTTCTTTTCATTAACGAATCAGTAATTAGTGCGGAATAAATTGAGACATAAAAACGTATCAAAATTGTTCCGAGGCAATGTTTTGACAAATTTTTCGCAGTTTTCTTGAAATTATCAAATTGATAGGTACTAAATAATTAATGTTAAAAATTTGGATAAATTTTTGATTTGATCCATAGTTGCAATTTGATACTTTTAAGTTAACAGTGGCTTAATTTAAGGTATCTTTAGAAAAAACGGAAAATAAGATGAAAATTTAATGCTCCGATGGGAGTTAAAACTTTTCTATTTTACTCCTGGTTAACTCACTTTTGGGGGGTAGATTTTTAGTTCTAATTTCGAATGTAATTTACTGCTTAAGATTTTTTTGCAGTGTATAAAAACAATAGTTAAAAGTAATAGAAAAAGAAAATAAATTAAAGTGTAAGAAAATAATTGTTGGGGAAAAATTGTAAACATTAGTAGAAAATAAATCGTGAGATGTGCATCTTCTTCTAAACAAGGGAGATTGTGTGCGGGATGAAGAGAAGGGATGAGAGTTCAACAAACTGACTGACGCGTCGCTTTATTGCAATAGAACCATTCATATATAGAGAGAATATAGTGTGCAAAAATTTTATAATTTACCTGTATGTCCACCTTATTTGAAAATGTTTTTCCCCTTTCGTGTGTTGTTTTATAACGTAAACTTGCAACAAGAAAAAAAAAACCCCAACACACCACCACTGTGTTTAATAAAGTGTCGAAAATTGTATAAATAACTCACACAGGTAGCTATGTAAACGACTGACTGTTGGTATATAGAATTGGAAAAAGCAAGTGCAATTGGGGAGTATGCGCGTTATCAGGAAGGTTAGGTCACCATCGCGAGGTTCCTTCGTTTCCGAAGTCACCCGACGTACGTGTCGGGGTTTTCAGTTCAACCCGAACAACCCTCGCGTTCAGTTTGTCGTATCATTATCATCGTTGTCGTTCTCGTTCTCGTCGTCGTAGTAGTTCTCGTTCTCGTTCTCTCATTGTCGTTGTCGGTATTTCGCTAACACGAAAGTTTAACACGCCGGAACGTGGTCAATAATTTCTGGATTTTCAAGGATCAACGATTTTTGGAATACTTTTTTTTCTCTATTATTTTCTTTTTTTTTCTTTTTTGGTGACAAAAAAATAAAAAAAAAAATAAAAAAATAAAAAAATACGCGTTAGTTGCCGGGGAAAAAAGGAGAGAAGGCGTGTATTGATAAACGTAGTCATAAAACCATCGTGTATGGCGGGAATGATATATAGTTTATGTTGTGTATTCCATTAGAGAGAGAATAGTAAAAAAAAAAAAATATTCCAGTTGTTTTTAGGACTTTTTTTTAAAAACAAAAAATAGTAGTGTCGTGTGTTTTTGGTTTTGGAAAAGGAAATAAAAAGAGTGAAAAGTAGTGACAGTAACAAAATTTGCTTCTTCTGCTTTGGTGAGTTTTGGGTTCTTTTTTACTCTGAGGTGATTTTTGATGTTGTGATTTAGTTCTTCTTTGTAGGGACCAAGAGAAAAGTTTGTTTTCTTTTGGTTGGTTTTGTACAAAATACACATTGTTAGGTTGAAAGTATCGAATTGTAAGGAATAGCAAAAATTTGATAGCAAAAATGTGTATTAAATAGGAATTTGATCCAAATTTTTGTTATTAATTTGATAGACATTTAGGTATCAGGTATTAAAAAAAACTGACAAATAGTTTGAGTTTGCCAATACTCTGAGAAACATTGTTTGAATACTCCACTGAAAAAAGTTTATTCGATTGAAATAACCGATTATTTGCCTTTTATCAAATATAAATATTGACTAGAATGAAATAATTTTTGTATGAATCAAGTAAATATTTACTTGATCAATTATTTTTCATATGAATCAAATAAAGATTTACTTGATCAAATAATTTTTGTATGTATCAAATAAATATTTACTTGAATCAAATAATTTTTATTTAAATCAAACGCAAATATTTTCTTGAATCAAACAATTTTTATTTAAATTAAAGGTGGAAGAAATTAAGATTTAATTAATCGAATAAATTGCATTTGAACCAATAATTTCAGTATTTGAAGCATACACCATTTCATTGATTTAAATAAATATTTCTTTGCTTCAAGTAAATATTTATTTGCGATAATAGACAAATAATTCGCTATTTGAATCAAATAAATTTTTCTTAGCTTCTATTTTGTTACATGAATCTTAGTTTTTGGTTATTTTAAACTTTGTTTAACATTTTGTTAACTTGATAACAAATTTTGTGTTTGAAAAAAATATTTAGTCAACTGAAGCAAATTTTTAGTTGAACAAAATAAATGTTTGATAGCAATGCATTATTTGGTTGATTTAACAAAAATTTCTTTTATTTCAAATAAATTTTTTTCTGAGTGTAAAAACTCACTAATTAAAGTTTGCTTATTTTTAAGTCCAAAAATATGTTGAATTTAAGAAAAAAAATACATTTAATCTGAAAGTGCTTTAAGAAAATTTTTAAAAAGACAGTTTTTTTTCTTAAATTTCAACAAATTTTGGTCTTAAAATCAAAGTTGACTAATTGTAGGACATAAAATTTGTAACTTGATTTGAAATTAAGACAATATTTTGACTGATGAAGAAAAATAAATACACAAATGATTTGTTGTAACTACTACATAGAAATGATTGACAAACACTCTTTAAATTTGAATTGGTAAAAATGTTTACTAATTTAAATTATTGAATGATTTTTTGCTTTTGAATTAGTAACTTTTCTACTAATAAATTAATAGAAATTACTATTTATTAGTAAAATTTACTAATTTAATAGAAAAAAGTCAGTCACTAATTCTAATTAGTAAACATTTTTTTTTACTAACTAAAAATTATTCTGGGAAAAATTGTGACTTCAATAAATTATTCTTTTCTCTATTGAAAGTTTAAAATTAATTAGTAATTAATAAAAATACAAATGAAATTTAAATTAGATAATTAATTTATAATAATAATAATAATATTAATAATAATAATAAAATTAGCAATTAATTTGCAAATATAAAATTGAAATATATACGAAACAAACTCAAAAATAAAATTTAAAAAATATTGAAAACTAAATCTCGGACAATTTTTGTTCTTTTATATAGTAAATTTTACTATTTTCAATATAAAATATTTTTGAAGTTGTCTTAGTCTTAAACGAGACTTTTATTTTAATTATATTTCACATTTTTTTAAGTTTTCGATTTGTTTTTTTTTATATTTTGTCTTTTTAGATATTTATTTTCATTGTATTTTTCTCAAAGATATTTTTTCTTTTAATTTTTAATAAACAAGATTTACCCTCTTATTTAAGGGTGTTTTCATTTTGCGCATATTTTATAAATTTCTTTTTGAGATTATATTAGTTTACTTTCATTTTACTCGCGCGCCATAAAGTATAGAGTTTGTACCTAAATCTTTGTTTACTTTGTCAGTTTTCTCAAATCAGAGGTTATTGGGTTTCTTCTTTTTTTAATTAGTCGGATTACAACTCTAATTTCATTTTTTATGAGAAAAAATGATTATTTCTGGTCTTTTTTTCTCTTTTCTTTTTCAATTAAAACTATACGTGATGAAGGATTTAAAAGAATATGGTGAGCAATATGTTTGATAATTATAGAAATTTAAAAGATTATAAATATTGTTATGAAGAAATTGAGTTTTTGTAATAATAATAATGATTCATTTCCGCATAGTTTTTTTTTTGAATGAATTAATTATTTTGTTACATAAAATGTTAATTAAAAATATTTTATTTTAACGGAAAAGAATCTAAATAGTAATTTTTACTGTTTGGACAGTAAAGCAAACAAACTGTCTGGAAGTTATGCGTATTTTTTTCTGTAATTTTTTTCCTTCTATTATTAAAGCTATTTTATTTGCATTAATATTATTTTTATATTTTTCTTTTATTTTTTATTGATATTTTTTCATTTTATTATTATAATTATCGTAAATAAATGAAAATTAACATATTAAACCCTGGTAGACTTCATCTCGGTTCTGAACGACGAGTTTTCTTGCCATCTAGCGGAAGCGTCATAGAAATAATAATGGCGCGAAATTCAAATTAGGCGAGAAACTAGAATTATTATAATTATATTATTTTATCAAGAAAGGTCAAAAAATAATAATACAAACTATTGAATATTTTATTATTACCTATTATTATTAATTTTATAATTTATATTATTTTTATTCTTTCTTTTAATAGTGTTACTATAATTACAGTTATTTTTAGTCCGACAATTATTCTTATTCATTAGGTTAAAGTTATTTTTTAATTAAATGATTTAATCAATTGGACGACAATGAAAGTACTGGAATTTCTTTTTTAATTAAGATATTCGCAAATTAAAAATTGGTGAAATTTTTTATAAATAATAATTATAATAAAAAAATAATATTTTCATAATTCATTATAATGATTAATTAGGAATTTAATAAGGAAAATTAGTAATGGAATTTAAAGAATTGATAAAAAAGAGAAAAAAAGAAGAAAAATGCAAAACGAAATATAAATTGTCTTATTAAGAAGTTGGAAAATGGACTTGAAAACTATTTTGGTATGCAACAAATGTCATTTTCACTTGAAGAAATTTCGTCTATTCTTAACTCGTTTATTGGCATTTTCGCTTAAGTATTTTCTTTTTTCTTGTGAATGCAAACAGAAATACGTCTGGCAAATACAGAAGTGCACTACTTTTAACTTTCATTGTAGTTTCCCGATAATGGCCCAACTTTTCAGCACTAGGATTCGGTGAACGAACTAAATCGGATAAATTCTAATGGAATTTCTCAGGCAAATTGGATATTGATCTGGGCTAATATATATGTATACACATATATATAGATAATATTTCGAGTTAAAATAATGGGAAAAAACGGGACAAAATATTTCTAATTTGAATTTTTTTCTTCTTTTGTAAAATAGGGGATTTTTATTGGGAAAGGTTTTAGATATTGCATAAATATTGTCTTTCAATGTTGTGTCAATATTGACAAAGGATGATCAGGGAATTTTGATCGAAATTCTGAAAAGACTCGCGGAGTGATCGATTTCTTCATGTTTTATAACCATTTTTCAATAAGTTGTTTAATTTTAAAAAGGTTTGAATTAAAAATTTTTGAAAATCTTAATTCTTAGGGAAAAATTATAATGATTACATATTTATTTACAAAAGATAAATATAACAATGCGGAATACAGTTTTATATTTATTGGAATTATTTAATTTTGTAAAATTTTGTTTTATATACCTGGGAAAATTCCGTTTTTTAACCTAGAAAAGTCAGGGAATATTTGAAATAAGTAAAAGCGTGGTAACCCTGCTCAACATTAAAATTTTGTGCTTTTTGGTAATGAAAAAAAGGCTGATGTTTATTTCCCTTTTTTGTTGGTACTTTTTTTCTTTGTTATTGGCGAAACCGTATAAAAGTTTTTGATTCTGTAAGGTTAAATGTAGAGGAAAAAAAGGGGTAGATTGACACGATTGCCCGTTATCGGTGGGTCGTGTGTGCGATGACCGACTAGATACTGACCTACTGATATCCGTTTCGGTGTAAAATGTCCGCAATTCAACCACTGTAACCACTTTTGCTTCCATTATTGTCGGCAGGTTTGTTGTGTTGTGCCTATCGTTAAAGTGCGCGCACACGTAGTACTTGTTGTTGTATATATATGCAAATAAACCACACAAATTTAACACTTCTAATGCCATAATCATTTGGTACACACCAACGTATAAAGTGTATTAATTGATTCTCTCTAATTGAGTTCCACTCAGCACTGAAAAATTATATCTATGGTAGATTTTGGTTTTATTTATTTTTTATTTTTATACGACAAAATATTAATATCTGATAGCATAATATTTGGCACATAATTTGACACTGTGTTGTATGGTAGTTTTGGCTATATTACACTGCAATGTTCAGGCAATTGGCTCGCAATTTTACCTGAATATCACCTGGCAAATTTGCTTAGTATTTTCTGAATATTATCCAAATATTAAATGTTAATATTGCATCAGTATTTCTCGAATATTACCTGGCAATTTCAGGGTTGCCACAGCTCAGAGAATTCAGGGAAAAGTTAGGGAAAGCAGAATTGGTCAGGGAAATCAGGGAAACGTCAGGGATTTTTATTAAAGAACTCTCTAAATATGAATCAGTTAAAAATAACTGCAGGGTTGCCACGCAACATGGAAACCTGGAAATGTCAGGGAATATTTATACACCTTGAAAAAACCTGGAATGGTCAGGGAATTTTGATTGGAATCCTGGAAAATTATTGTTTTCTAAAGTTATTGTGCTTATTCTTGAAATTTAATTTTTCTTTAATTCAATTTTCTGAATTCAATTTTAAAAGAATTGCCTTTACAATTTTTTTTTCGCAATAATTCAATTATTTTCATAAATATAA